CTAAGGAGATTTTCCGCATGTGTATTTATCTGGGGAGAGACTTGGCTTAAAAGGTTAAATCAGGGAAGCACAGATAAGTGTGTACATTTTGGAGGTGGAAATCTAGCATCTCCGGGGCTTAGAAAGGCAGTCGGTGCCAAGATTTGAGCATTTGAGGATGGAGTGGGCCAAGATGTGGGTTTTGAGCACCGTTGTGACTGAGTCATTTTTAAAAAAAATACACACACGTTCTGTGAAGGTGAGAATTGAAACACCTAGCCTTTGAGATGCTTTTGAGCACAAACCAGGTTCTCTTTTTCTCCGTTTAATGTCAGCCAATTCTCTCCCCTCTCCCACAGCCTACGGTTCTGAAACGAAGGACGTGCCCATCGTGACTTGCTACGTCATCTGAAAAGCCAACGGTCGCTTTACGCGGGCAAACTACCTTGCGGTCAGTCGCATCAAGGGAACTGGCTTTCCGGGGAAGAAGGTGACGGTGCCCTCTCCGTTTGGGATAGATAACGGCGGGCGTCTTTTTGCGCGCGGGCGGCGTCCCAAGAAGAACCGACAAGGAATTATTTCGCCGCTTTGCAGAAGACCCAAGTCACAGCAGAGGGAAAAGAATTCTGTAACCAGCCACGTTTGGGTGAAAATGTATTTCCTTCGAGGTTAAAAGAGCCGGGTTTTTTTTTTTATTTATTTGCTTCTTTGAAGATGCTAACAGTTTCTCCCTAAATGTGTTCACAATCTCTTGTCTTCCAAAAATAAACCTCAGACCTTATTCTCTGGAAGTGCTTCTCCCGCCCAGATACAATCCACGTGACTTTTAAAAATAAATGGAATAAATCCTTTTTTATACGACTTGACGTGGGTCTTCGATTCCTTGAAGGTAGGACAAAAGGATACCGGGCGACCTATAATCCTTGTTTACGGTGTTTTTCTCCCAATCTAAGAGGCTGAAATATTTTGCAACCTGCAGAGAAGACGAAGAACGTTCAAACAATCTAATTTATGTTAACCGTCACCTCCGGAATGATGCTGCCGTGGGCATTTCTGCCCCTTAAAGTTATTAGAATGGATATCTCAGCTAGGATTTCTAATTTCTCTTGTTGGATTGGAACCTTCTTCGCATCCGTAGACCTAAAACGAAGAAATTGTGGGGGAGCCGTCAAATTTGACTTTTTAGGAGAATCTGGTCTGGATAGAAGGAGCTGACTTTGCCCTCTTGATCTTTTTTTTTTTTTAAGATGAGGAACTAAAATTGAATAGGTTCAAAGTCCCAACAAATCACTTCGTTTTGGAAGATAAAACGGTACCCTTGCGGTGGATTGTGACAAGGTCGCTCCGAGTTGTGTCTTTTTTTTTTTTTGTCAGGACTGATTGTACTGATTTACAAACTGGAATTAGCGGTCCTTTTCCTTGCGAAGCGTTTGCATCTAGAGACGCCAGAGATTGTGCGACCTGCTCAGAAGTCGAGTTTCAAATGCTGTATATTTTGGTTTTTTTTAAAAAAAATCCATTTCTGTGAAATGTGTTGGAAAGCCTTCGTAATTGAATATTTATATTCTGCTTTCGTCCTTCGGCAGCTGTAAAGTGATTTAGTGATGTTAATAAACACGTAGGATTTTAAAAAGGCTTGACATAATTGAAACGGAAGCCGGGTTGGGTTTCCTCTGTGGCCGGCGTAGAAAACAGAGTGTAGCGTTGCGGTTTGATCAAATTCCCCCCAGGCCACGTGCCACACACGGTGGGTGTCCTACCTTTTGCGACAGGCGCAAAGGGGAAGCCAACGAATTTTGGAAACGCCACCATCTTCCTGACGCTTCTTGGTTTCTCCGTCACCTCCATAGCCCCTGCAGGCATTTCGATCCGGATTTCTCCCTGGAAAGATTTGCGGCAGCTTCCTTGATCACATCCTGTTTGTTCACCGCTCTGGGCCTATAATCTTCCCCGCCTCTCTCTCTCTCTCGTGACCTGCGACCGAGGCCGCTTTTAATGGACCGTGTAGGAGGCCACTGAGTCACAAAGCGTGAGACCGACACCCTGGCCTGCAGCTTTTGCAAAACCCGGCGGGATGTGACTCAAGCTTTTGGAGGCCAAAGAGTCTCATTCTAATTGGGGGGGGAAAAAAAACATCTTTGGACTAATTGGAGAGTCCGACCCCAAATTGGGGGGGTTTGTAGGATTTCTGAAAAGGAACAAGACTCGCGGAAGGGATCATTTGGGTAGAAAGAAGGGCGATTCCTAACTTCAGACTGCAAAGCTGGGTCTGAATCTTCACCTTCCTGTTGCTGCAATTAGTTTGAGGTATGGAAACTTTTACAGCTATTAACCTTGGCTGCGGCTGTGGGACGCTTAAAAACCACGTCCAGCCAGTTTTCCCTGCTGACCTGATTGTCTTCAGGTGTCCCAATAACTGGGCCAGGAGGTGCGACACGCACAGGTGGGCCCTTGACTTAGGACCCATTGCTTGTGTGTTCTTCAAAGTTACAATAGATACAAAACAACAAAAAAAAGGACTTATGGCTCAGAGTCAAAAGTTCCAAACGTGGGCCAGCAGCCAAAAAAGCTTAACTTCAATCCCTAGATTTGCAGAAACAGGGACTGAATCCAGATCACACAAAGTGCTAGTCCTGTTTTGTAAGATCCTGCCTCCGGTTTCAGTCCCCACATTCCCAAAAAGATGTCGAGACTTTGGGGGGAAAAAGTGCAAAGACAGAGCAACTTAAGACGATTTAAAGGCCTGGAGGAGACTAAAACATATAAAGAATGCTTGCAGAATTTGGGTTTGGCCAGTCTAGAGAGAAGAAGGACTGGGGGGGGGGACATGGCATGATAGTCTTGCAGTATTTGAGGGTCTTACCACAAAAGTTGTGGGTGCTTCATCCCTGGAGGCTTTCGAGAAGAGAGAGAGCCTGGACAACCGCCTATCTGAAACGGAATAGGATCTGCTTGAGCAGGAGGGGGGCTGGACTAGAGGGCCTCTTAAGGTCCCTTCCAGTTCTCTTCTGATTGAAAATCAATTTGCCTACTCGAGCAACCGTTCCTTTGTTACAGCAGCTGCTCTTGGGTTAAGATCAGAGCATTTTAGCAGCTCAATCCAGCTTTTCGATAAAAACGGCCCGCTCTCCTCCATGGCACAGCTACCCAGGGCTAGTAAGTTCTACAAAGGGCTTAAGACAGATCAAGACGTTGCTGCTACAGGGATGTTCATTCTGCTTTTAAATCTCCTTATTCTAAAGAGGGTTTTTTTTTTTGTTTTTTACAATTCCCCCGTTTATGGACAGACTCCGTGGACCGTCTAGGCAACGTTCAGATGGATGGGCTTCAACTCCCAGAATTCCCCAGCCAGCCATGTTTTAATATGGGTGGACTTCAATGATTTTAAAGGGATTTTATAATTTTAAATCTAATACAGGTCATTTAATATATATTTTAATTTGGTTTTTAGATATTTATTGTATTGTACTGTTTTTATTTACCTGTAAGCCGCCCTGAGTCCCTCGGGAGAAGGGCGGGGTATAAATGGGAACAAATAAAATAAATAAATAAATAACTCCCAGGATTCCCCAGCCAGCCATGCTTTAAGGTGGGTGGGTCTTAAGCTCCAGGGCTGGCTGAGGAATTCTGGGAAGGGAAGTCCACTCATCTTAAAAGTCGCCGATATTTGAGAATAGCTGCCAGGGACCAACGGCTAGATCTAATCTATCTACCTACCTACCTACCTATCTTTATCAGATATCTATCTATCTATCTATCTCTCTATCTATCTATCTATCTATCTCTCTATCTCTCTATCTATCTATCTATCTATCTCTCTATCTATCTCTCTATCTATCTCTCTATCTATCTATCTATCTATCTATCTATCTATCTATCTATCTATCTATCTCTCTATCTATCTATCTATCTATCTATCTCTCTATCTATCTATCTATCTATCTATCTATCTATCTATCTATCTATCTATCTATCTATTCTATCTAATCTATCTCTATTATTTATTATGTATATTATATATCAAATACATATACACGCTCGCCCGGAACAGAAGAGGCAAACGCTTGGAGCTTTATGTAGCCAAGGAAACGGTGCCTTTATTCCGCCAGATTTAAACAAGAAGTGACTCAAAATTCGGCAATCCATCCCGGAGTGCAGCTTGGCTTCTCCCCCTCCCCCCCCCCGTGTCTCNCCCCCCCCCCCCCCCGTGTCTCCCCCCCCCCCCCAATAAAACCGGCTCGCTTTCACAGGGGAGGGTGGGCGAAGGGGGGAGAAACGGGCCTGCCCTCCCAAAGCGGGGACGCGTCTGGGTCAGGCTCCCCAAAAGTTCTGGCTGGGGGGGGCAGGGGTCCGCCCCCCCCACTCCAAGGGGCCGTGGTCATGGAGGGGGAGGGTCTCTGCGTTCTGCCCCCCCCCCACCGTGGGGAAGCCAGGCCCAAGAAGGGAAAGGGGATTAAACATACAGCATTGAATGTGTATACATTATATATATATTCATATTTATAAGAGTCCTTTTTTTTTTTTTTTTTTGCAGTGCTTCTCGAAGGTTTCGACACTGGGGGAGAGGGGGGGGCGGCAAAGACCCCCCCCACAAAAGCAGGCTGCCCCCTCCCCTATATCCGAGCCCCAGGCAGCCCGGATCCGCGCTCTTTTAAGTTGGCCCCCCTCCCGCAACCACCAGCCAGGGGGGGTGTGTGTGTGTGGATACAAACCAGCTCGGTCCTGAGTACCTCTTGGTCAGTCTAATGTCCGGCCGGGGGTGGCTTTCCGGATGGGGCCGGCCGCTGCCTCCTCCCCCCCCTGCAGGAAGGGGAGGGGCTGGGGAGGAGGAATTCGAATCCGAGGCGGGGGTCCCGAGAAGGGGCAGGAATCGCCGGCCGGGCCCCCCCCAGGCTGTCACATAATCCGGAAATCAAAAAGGAGAGGCCGGAGGGCCACAGGGGGGGGCCCCTCGGAGCAGAGGTGGGGGCCGGCGCGGGTGGAGGGGGCTCGGCGGGCAGGTGGCCCAGCTGCCCCCCCCCTCAGTCGTCTATGCAAATCACCTCCCCGCCTTTTGCTTCTTTCTTCTCCAGGCCTTCGCCCTCCTTCTCCTTCTTCACAATCACGGGGGGCCCGTTGGCTGCAAGGATATTTGGGGGGGGGTGAGAGAGAGAGAGAGAAAACGGTATATATCTCCACGGTGTATGTGTGTTTCCCCAAAAATATTAATTTATATTAATTTTTGCTCCAAAAGACGCATTAGGGCTTATTTTCTGGTTAGGGCTTATTGGGGGGGGGGGGGGGGAAACATACTGTGAATACCGTAAATTCAAAATTTGGGTGGCTGACAACAAGAGTTAGTGGGAGACTAGTGTAGCTATTTCAAGCTCTTTAGCTGATGAGAGAGCTTGAAATAGCTATACTAGTAGTCTCCCACTAACTTTGTCAGCCACCAAAATTTTGAATGTGTGTGTGTGTGTGTGTGTGTGTATATATAGATATATAGACAGATAGATATGGATATATAGAGATAGATATAGAGATAGATATAGGGGTGTGTGTGTGTGTGTGTGTATGTATAGATATGGATATATATATATATAGATATATATAGAGATATAGGTGTGTAGATAGATGTGTGTGTATATATATGTGTGTGTGTGTATGTATGTATGTATTAAATTTCTATCCTGCCTTTAGTACAGGCAGTCCTTATTTTGGGGGCAACACGGTGTATGTATGTATGTATGTATGTGTGTGTATGTATGCATTAGATTTCTATCCTGTCTTTAGTACAGGAAGTTCTTATTTTGAGGGAAATACGGTGTGTGCGTGTGTATACGTACATACATACATAATATATGGATGTGTGTGTGGATATATGTACGTGTATATGTGTATGTATGTATGTATGTATGTAATTAGATTTCTATCCTGCCTTTAGTACAGGCAGTTATTTTGAGGGAAATACGATGTGTGTGTGTGTGCACATATATACATACATACATTATATGTATGTATGTATGTATGTATGTAATTAGATTTCTATCCTGCCTTTAGTACAGACAGTCCTCGACTTACAACTGTTCATTTAGTGACCATTAGGAATCACAACGGCACTGAAAAGAGCGACCGACGAACATTTCTCACACTGGCGACCGTTGCATGCATCCCTCGCGGCCCCGTGTCGGTCATAAAACGGGGCAAAATTCACTTAACAAACGTTTTGCTTCACGACAGAAATGGCGGGCTCCGTTGCGGTCGTTAAGTCGAGGACTACCTGCATTTAAAATGACTTGTGACCGTTTTCCCCTTTTGCAACCTAACAGTAGTCAATGGGGAAGCCAGATTCACTTAACAACCGGTTACTGCAGTGATTCACTTAACGACTGCGACAAAAACAAGGTAGTAAGTTGGGGCAAAATTCACTTCACAGCCGCTGTCTCACGTAGCAATGGAAATTTTGGACTCGGCTGTTGTCGTAAGACGAGGACCGCCTTCCTGTAAGTGACGTTCTGGGGTTTTTTTCATAACCCAACTGTCCGGTTTTTTGTGCAACCACCGCAACGGTGTCATTATACTCACAAGCCTTGCGCAATCGTCCCCAACTGACCTGTTATGAAGGAGCCGGTTGGCATCTGGCTGTAGTTGGCCCCCAAGGTGGGCAGACCCCCACCGGGGGTGGCCCCGAAGGAGCCCCCAAAACTAGGTGGGGTGGCGTAGGGTCCAGGAGGGAAGGCCTGCCGAAGGAAAAAGACAGGGAGGGGGACACCAATTAGCCCTCCAGAGGCGTTGCGTTACGAGACGGGTGGCAAATAAATTAAATTAAAAGTAAAATAAAATAAATAAAATAGCAAAACGAAACAAAACTTAAGTTCCAGTCGCACTGCAGGGGGAAAAGCCAGGGAAAAGGGACCTGGGTTGGGTGGCAAATAAATGAATAAAAGTAAAGTGAAATAAAATAAATAAAATAGTAAAACGAAACAAAACTTAAGTTCCAATCGCACTGCAGGGGAAAAGCCAGGAAAAAGAGACTTTGTAGATAGACAGACAGACAGACATACAGAGAGGGAGAGAGACAGACAGACAGACAGATAGATAGATAAAGAGAGAGGATATAGATAGATAGATAGATAGATAGATAGATAGATAGATAGATAGATAGATAGATAGANAGAGATGATAGGTAGATAGAGACACAGAGAGAGATGAGAGACATAGAAGAATAGATAGACAGACAGAGAGATGAGATAGGTAGGTAGGTAGATAGAAGATAGATAGATAGATAGATAGATAGATAGATAGATAGATAGATAGATAGATAGATAGATAGGCAGGCAGGCAGGCAGGCAGAGAGAGAGAGAGAGAGAGAGAAGATTGGCATTTACCGGAACGCTCTGGGTTTCGTTCCCCTTGCTGGCCAAGCGGCTCAGGATGCTGCGCTCGGACATCTGGAGCCGGGCAGCGATGGGAGGGATGCGGGAAAGCGTGGCCGGCAGGCGCGTCACGTCGGCCTTCATGTCGCTGAGCAGCTCCTCCAACTGGTTCAGCACTGGCCCAGCCGCCGGGAAAGAAGAAGAAGGAGACAGAAGAGAAAGCAAAGTCCATCAGGGCCAACGCTAGCCATGGCCTTCCCTGGCGGGCCACAAACTTCCTGGACACCGCCGCCTTCCTTCCCAGTCTCAAGCTGGAAGGGACCTTGGGAGGTCGTCTAGCCAAACCCCCTGCTCAAGCAGGAGACGGTATGCCATTCCGGACAATGTAAAGTAACCTCCAGCTTTGGAGCAACCACCACTTCTGGTGGCAAGCTGTCCCACTGGTTAACTGTTCTCAGCTGGGAAGTTTGGTTCTGTAGGATAGGAAACCATCAAGTTGGAAGGGACCTCGGAGGTCTTCTAGTCCAACCCCCTGCTCAGGCAGGAGACCCTACCCCATTCTGGACAAAGGGCTGTCCAGTCTCTTCTTAAAGACTTCCAGTGATGGAATCCTGTTTCCAGGTGAGCTAAGGGCCTGCCAATTGTTCTAGGCCACCTTGGCTCTTTTATGACTCGTGGACTTCAACTCCCAGAATTCCTGAGCCAGCCATGCTGATGGGAAAGGGAGAGGTTTCCAAACTGAGCCAGGCTGGCTCAGGAATTCTGGGAGTTGAAGTCCACGAGTCATAAAAGAGCCAAGGTGGCCTACCCCTGTATCTAGGGGAAGGGGCTGAACCTAGAAGCCCATCATCCAACAACGGAAGGAGCGCCCAAAAACAGCCAGGAAGCAGGAGATACAGGTAGTCCTCCACTTATGACCATAATTGAGCCCCAAATTTCCCTCGCTAAGCGAGACAGTCATGAATTGAGCTTTGGCCCCATTTGACCACCTTTCCTTGCCAGGGAATCACTGCAGTCGTTCAGTTAGTTAAGTTGAAGCTCTGGGATGCTTTGAGAGGACAGGAGCGGAGTTGACAAGAAAACAAACCGAAGAAGCTCAAGAAGGCACCAAAATTATGCAGCCACTGATGTCTGTCTGTTTCTCTGTCTATATCTATCCATCTATCCATCTATCTATCTATCTATCTATCTATCTATCTATCTATCTATCTATCTATCTATCTATCTATCTATCACTATCACTATATCTATCACTATCTGTCTACCATCTATCATTATCATTTATATCTATCTATATTTATCTATCTATCTCATCTATCTGTATCTTCTATTTATCATCTCTCTCTCTCTCACTATCTCTCTATCACTATCTATCTATTATCTATCATTATCATTTATATCTATATTTATCAATCTCTCATCTATCTCATCTATCTTTATCATCTATCAATCATCTATGTATCTATCAATCATCTATCTATCTATCTATCTATCTATCTATCACTATCACTATATCTATCACTATCTGTCTACCATCTATCATTATCATTTATATCTATCTATATTTATCTATCTATCTCATCTATCTGTATCTTCTATTTATCATCTCTCTCTCTCTCACTATCTCTCTATCACTATCTATCTATTATCTATCATTATCTATCATTTATATCTATATTTATCAATCTCTCATCTATCTCATCTATCTTCTTTATCATCTATCAATCATCTATGTATCTATCAATCATCTATCTATCTATCTATCTATCATCTATCTATCTATCTATCTATCTATCTATCTATCTATCTATCTATCTATCTATCTATCTATCTATCTATCTATCTATCTATCTATCATCTATCTATCTGTCCTATCATTATCTATCTATTTATCTCTGTCTACCTATCATCTATCTAGCTATCTGTCTGTCTATCTATCTATCTATCTGTCTGTCTGTCTGAGATATGACATTTTGATGGGCACAACAGTGGATCCGGACCAGTCACAATACTTGATGAAGGATGCAAAGCAGACTAGAAGGCACCCAGCTAGATATCCCAGAAGCACCCGGTTTCTAAGGCGAGAATATTTTCTGGCTGTTTTTCTTTGAAAGTTCAACCGAGGACACCAAGCGTGTTTTCCACCCAGGCGGTCCCCAACCTTTCCATCTTGCGCGCGCTTGCCCATTTCTCCCACGGCCTGGTTTCCAACAGGCCGCGGCCGGGGGGGAGTTGGGGACCCCGGTTCTACCCCACCCCCCAAGATGCTCATTCCAGTTATTGGGGGGACGCTCAGCAAGCGAGGAAGGAGAGGAAAAACCTTCAAGACAGATTCGAAGATGCTCAGAGGGAGGGTCCCGGTTTCTCCGGAGATACTAGTGGGATACTCCGCCGACAGACCCGAAGCAGAGATACACAAAGAGCAGGATCAAGGAGACAACCACACACACACAGTGGCTTTGCACAGCACAACCGCACTTTAATGGATTCAGAAGGGGCAGGGGGATACAGAAGGATCCACGCACGGAGGCCGGGTGTGTGTGTGGGTGGGAGAGGGAGAGTTACGTGGACTGTCCTCGTCGCGCCTGCCTCCCCGCCCGCCTCTTACCCTTGTGCAGGACGGCGTTGGCGGGCTTGTTGCCGGCCAGGGACTCCTTGGACAAGTGCTGGTGGCTCTCGGCCAGACACTCCACCTCGGCAAAGCGGGTGTTGAGGGCCATGGCGGGGTGGCTGGGGTCCTGGGTCATGTTCAGGTAGGCCGCCCGGCGGAGCTGCTCCTCGATCACCAGGGCCTGCTCCAGCAGCTGGCAGAAACAAGGCAGGGGAGACGGTCAGAAGGCAGCGGGCACCCCGGAGAAGGCCAAGGGGGTCTTTCCCCTCGACTTACGGTGGTTCGTCTAGGTCAGGGGTAGGCAACCTCGGCTCTTTTATGACTTGTGGACTTGCAACTCCCAGAATTCCTGAGCCAGCCATGCCTTTTTTTCCCCCCTCCTACCTCCTATAGCAGAAAGATTGCAGAGGAAGGGATTATAAGAGAGTAAGCACGTCGATGGGTAGACACATCCTGCTGGCTCAGGAATTCTGGGATTTGAAGTTGAATAGAATAGAAATAAGGAATAGAATAGAATTATGGGATAGAATAGAATAGAATAGAATAGAATAGAATAGAATTATGGGATGGGATAGAATAGAATAGAACAGAACAGAACAGAACAGAACAGAACAGAACAGAACAGAATAGAAATAAGGTATAGAATAGAATAGAAATAAGGAATAGAATAGAAATATTAGAATAGAATAGAAATAAGGAATAGAATAGAATAGAATAAAAATTAATAGAAGAATAATAGAAGAATAGAATAATAGAATAGAATAGAATAAAAATTAATAGAATAGAATAGAATAATAGAATAGAATAATAATAGAAGAATAGAATAGAATAAAAATTAATAGAATAGAATAGGATAAAAATTAATAGAATAGAATAGAATAATAATAGAATAATAGAAGAATAGAATAAGAATTAATAGAATAATAATAGAAGAATAGAATAGAATAAAAATTAATAGAATAGAAGAATAGAATAATAATAGAATAGAATAGAATAAAAATTAATAGAATAGAATAGAATAATAATAGAATAGAATAGAATAAAAATTAATAGAATAGAATAGAATAAGAATAGAATAATAGAATAGAATAGAATAAAAATTAATAGAATAGAATAGAATAAGAATAGAAGAATAGAAGTATAATAGAATAGAACAGAATAAAAATTAATAGAATAGAAGAATAGAAGAATAGAATAGAATAAAAATTAATAGAAGAATAATAGAAGAATAGAATAGAATAGAATAGAATAAAAATTAATAGAATAGAATAGAATAAGAATAGAATAAGAATAGAATAAAAATTAATAGAATAGAACAAGAACAGAGCAGAACAGAATAAACTTTATTGTCGCTTTAAATGTAGACTAATCAGCATACATTAAAATGAAATCTCACTGCGTTCAGCTCTCAAAGGGCCACCCCCTCCAATATACACCGCATAAACACAACAAAAGATTAGGCCTATAACCACACGCGCGCACACACACATATTTAACCACAGAGAAACAACACATCCTAGCTAGCGTATCGCCTTAGCCTGCTTTTAAATTCCAAAGCCACCACCGCAGCCCCAGCCCGTCTCTCAGCCCGAGGGGGGGGGCCTCCCACTTTCTCCTCGCCCACCTTGAACCTCCTGGCCAGAAACTTGTTCTTCATCTCCAGGAAGTTCCCCTTGTTGGCTTCGCTCTTGAAGGGCTCGTTGATGATGGCGAACTGGTTGTCGTTCTGGATGTCCTGCCAGCGGGCGTAGCCGTGCCTGCAGGGGTGGGCAGGTTAAGGGGCGTCCACAGTTGCGGGCAGGAGTCCCCACGGAGGGCGGCCTCTCGGAGAAGAGCGCAGAGAAGGGAACCCTCTTCCTCCTCTTCAACTGACTTCCTCTAGGGCAGAGGTCCCCGACCTTTTGGGCACCAGGGACCACCGGTTCCGTGGAAAGAGGTTTTCCCGCGGACCGGAGGGGGCGAGGTTTTCTGTGCTGCCTGCATCCCGGGGATGGGGCTTGGCTTGTTTGTGCAGACCGGTTGCTGGTGTGCTGCAGCCCAGTACGGGTCCACAGACCAGGGGTTGGGGACCTCTGTCCTAAACCTTAAACCTAAGCCCCTAACCCCCTAACCCGGTTGCTGGTGTGCTGCGGCCCGGTACCGGTCCACAGACCAGGGGTTGGGGACCTCTGTCCTAAACCTTAAACCTAAGCCCCTAACCCTAAGCCCCTAACCCAGTTGCTGGTGTGCTGCGGCCCGGTACCAGTCCACGGACCAGGGGTTGGGGACCCCTGTCCTAAACCTTAAACCTAACCCCCTAACCCTAACCCCCTAACCCTAACCCGGTTGCTGGTGTGCTGCGGCCCGGTACCAGTCCACGGACCAGGGGTTGGGGACCCCTGTCCTAAACCTTAAACCTAACCCCCTAACCCTAACCCCCTAACCCTAACCCGGTTGCTGGTGTGCTGCGGCCCGGTACCGGTCCACGGACCAGGGGTTGGGGACCCCTGTCCTAAACCTTAAACCTAACCCCCTAACCCTAACACAGTTGCTGGTGTGCTACAACCCGGTACCAGTCCACGGACCAGGGGTTGGGAACCCCCGTCCTAAATCTTAAATCTAACCCTTAACTCTAGCCCTAAACCTAATCTTAACCCTAAATCTTAAACCTAACCCCTAACCCTAACCCTTAAACCGTAAATCTTAACCCTAAATCTTAAACCTAAAACCTAACCCTAACCCTTAAACGTTATACCTAACCCTAAACCTTAAACCTAACCCTAAATCTTAAACCTTAACCCTAGCCCTAACCCCCTAACCCTAACCTTGGTGCACTCTGGGTGATTTTCTTGCGTAGGTTTCAGGACCCAACTAAGTAAGATCAGTACTGGAAGGGAGGGGAGGGGCTGTGCAGTGGAGGAGGACTGTGGGGTCCTTGGGGGGGGTGTCTCTGAGCTGGGTTGTTTTATTGTGGACGTTTCATGACCCAACTAGGGAACATCCTCAGTGCTACTTAATCTCAATCCCTTCCAGCAGTGATGATGTTCCCTAGTTGGGTCATGAAACGTCCACAATAAAACAACCCAGCTCAGACAGCACCAGGGACCCCCACATTCTTCCTCTTTCTCCTTGTGCTCTCCTCCTCCTTCTTCTCCTCTTCCTCCATTTCTCCTCCTCCTCCTCCTCCTCCTCCACTCTGCACACCTCTCTCCCTTCTAGCCCTGATGCTGTTCCCTAGTTGGGTCATGAAACGTCTGCAAGAAAACCACCCAGCTCAGAGCGCACCAGGGACCCCACGCTTCAACCCTGAGTTATAGGTATTCTCTTTTGTCGGGCAGAAACTGGCAGTGAGACCCAGAGGCTGCAGCCCACCCCCCACTCAGACATTCTCCAAAGAGCTCTGCTTCCTGCAGGAAAACAGCAGACCAGCCCCCTCCCTCCCCGTTCACCACCCCGGGGAAGCTCGGCTGTCCCCCGAAAAACCCTAACCCTCCCCATCCTTCACGGGATGGCCCTGCGACCACTTGGCCAGCTCTTTCTCAAGACGGTGTCCTTCTCCCCTCTCGCTTCCCCACAAAGGGTGCCCTGTCCTCCGCCTTCACCGGGAATCACGGGCAACACCCCACCCACCCCCAAACTCCACTTTCCCAAATTTTAAAGGATACAGGACGATGCCGGCCAGCAGCCAGTAGTCATGTCGGCGGTGCCAGATCTCGTTCAGCTTGCTGGAGGAGATGGCGGCTCGCTCCTCGTTCTGCCAAAGGGTGTGAAGTTCTGGCCAGAGAGAGCAGGAGAAAAATCACCACTGGGTCCGGTCTGAGAAACCAGCTATAAATCCNAGAGAGAGAGAGAGAGAGAGAGAGAGAGAGAGAGAGAGAGAGAGAGAGAAGATTGGCATTTACCGGAACGCTCTGGGTTTCGTTCCCCTTGCTGGCCAAGCGGCTCAGGATGCTGCGCTCGGACATCTGGAGCCGGGCAGCGATGGGAGGGATGCGGGAAAGCGTGGCCGGCAGGCGCGTCACGTCGGCCTTCATGTCGCTGAGCAGCTCCTCCAACTGGTTCAGCACTGGCCCAGCCGCCGGGAAAGAAGAAGAAGGAGACAGAAGAGAAAGCAAAGTCCATCAGGGCCAACGCTAGCCATGGCCTTCCCTGGCGGGCCACAAACTTCCTGGGCACCACCGCCTTCCTTCCCAGTCTCAATCGGAACAGAGAGCCGGAAGGGACCTTGGGAGGTCGTCTAGCCCAACCCCCTGCTCAAGCAGGAGACGGTATGCCATTCCGGACAATGTAAAGTAACCTCCAGCTTTGGAGCAACCACCACTTCTGGTGGGAAGCTGTCCCACTGGTTAACTGTTCTCAGCTGGGAAGTTTGGTTCTGTAGGATAGGAAACCATCAAGTTGGAAGGGACCTGGGAGGTCTTCTAGTCCATCCCCCTGCTCAAGCAGGAGTCTCTCCTTGGAAGATTTCCAGTGATGGGAGTCCTGTTTCCAGGCGAGCTAAGGGCTCTTTTATGACTCGTGGACTTCAACTCCCAGAATTCCTGAGCCAGCAGGATGTGTACACCCATCGATGTGCTTACTCTCTTATAATCCCTTCCTCTGCAATCCACGAGTCGTAAAAGAGCCAAAGTTGCCTACCCCTGTACCTAAGGGAAGGGGCTGAACCTAGAAGCCCATCATCCAACAACGGAAGGAGCGCCCAAAAACAGCCAGGAAGCAGGAGATACAGGTAATCCTCCACTTATGACCATAATTGAGCCCCAAATTTCCCTCGCTAAGCGAGACAGTCGGGAAATGAACTTTGGCCCCATTTGACCACCTTTCCTTGCCCGGGAATCGCTGCAGGTCGTTCAGTTAGTGACGGGCCTGTTCCGTGAATCCAGCCTCCCCCGCTGACTTTCCTCATCGGAAGGTCGCTAAAGGGGATCACGTGACACACACACCCCCGGGATGCCGCAACCGTCACAAATGTGAGTCGGTTGCCAAGTGTCTTCCATCTGGATCTATCTATCTATCTATCTATCTATCTATCTATCTATCTATCTATCTATCTATCTATCTATCTATCTATCTATCTATCTATCTATCTATCTACCTACCTATCTATCTATCTCTATCTATCAAACTCTATAAAACTATCTATATCCATCCATCCATCCATCCATATCTATCTATCTATCTATCTATCTATCTATCTATCTATCTATCTATCTATCTATCTATCTATCTATCTATCTATCTCTATCTATCAAACTCTATAAAACTATCTATATCCATCCATCCATCCATCCATCCATCCATCCATCCATATCTATCTATCTATCTATCTATCTATCTATCTATCTATCTATCTATCTATCTATCTATCTATCTA